TCAAATTGACAAAAATTCTGTTTGAGACATTGTTTGAATAGAGTAATTAAGTTTTCTGTGTCTTTTCTGTTGCTAAGGTTGTTTTGTATCAATACCTTTAATATGTTTAATGTTTGTATGATTGGTACATTGGTGTATAAATTTGTTATGTCAATTAAAAAGACAATTAACATAATTAAACATATCACCTTAGTAAATAAAGATTTATTACCTACTTTATCCAAGAAAGGGTGAAATGAATATTAACTTAAATTATAGAATTGATATAGGTCATTTTTGTGTTATTTTCGTGTACCTTCGCTATATCTTCGCGTTTAAGATTTTTGAATCGGGCATTTCCACTTACGTATTGATCAGTGATTAAGCTTTTTAATTGATGACTAATTTCGCATAAGTATAATTATGAGAACATTGCGATTTGCATTTTTTAGTTGAATACAAATTTACATATCAGATAAATTTTAATGGATTATGTCAGTGATACGAAATGATTCGGGAGCTGTTGTTCAAATTAGTTTAGTTTGTTAGCGCTTTCTTTGTTATATGAAACCAATAATTACACGTTTTAGGTATAGTTCCAGGATATATTCCTCGATAAATTTATATAAACATAATGCATAACAATATATTCTGGTAAAATAGGTACCATTTTGGCTGTGGTCGTAATTTGAAATTTACTGATACATGATAACGTTATTAACGATTTTCCGTATAATTAACGTTTTTCTGGTCATACAAAATGAAAGTTTATGTACGCATAAATTTATTAATAACCTACTTTACCTAATTATTCGGTATATTTGATTAAGTGTTAGTTTTAGAGAAAACTGAAAACAACAGAAAAATATTTTAATATGAGAGTATTTTATTGTATAATATAATAAATATATTTTGACTGTAAATTTAACAACGTAGGTTTTAGGTTTTATAGATAAATATTTGTAATAAAATATATTAGTTCTCTATGGGAATCGTTGCAGTTGACGGGAAAGTTTTGAGTAGTCCCTTGCGAGCTGTTAATAAACGTATTACGAAAACTAAATTAAATTTCCTAACCCCGCATGCTGGTTTCTGGCGGAATAGTTGGAGACATGAGGTCATGTTTTATTCAGCAATTTCAGGTGAGAAATTTCTATATTATTACTACAGGTTTACACTATATCTATAAATTAATATTTTTATGACTTCAATAAACGAATCAATTAATTTTTACTGCATTTGCGCCTGAAAGAATTTTACCGTGAATATGCCACTCATTATTCACATTCTCGTAGCTGTCGGAACGAAACGTTTTTAACAAGTTTTCAGCTCTGTTGAAACTAAATTGAATTAGTTTCCTGAAGCCAGAATTAGAACGTCTTCACTTTAATTATACAGATCTCTTAATACGGCACCAATGGTAGAACTCAGTTTCAACCACCAACAGTGGTGTGTAGCACGTGGTGAACAGTGGGTGGAAGAGCGTGTAATTGAGGATTTGAAACTATTTTCACGGCATTATGTTTCAATCGGCTTTGTTTACACTGGAAAATGATATTCAATTACCGTAGCATCAATTTACTTAAAGGTTTATTTATTTGTTATATTACGGAAATTTAAAAACAAATTTTTTATGAAATTCTTTTGTATGCAATCATTAGTTTATGCGACTTGTGTACTTCAGGTAAGTTAAAATTTTTAGGTTTTTAGTAGCAAACGAATAATACAAAAGCGCATCCACATGAATATGGGACTTTAATACTTTACAGATTAAAACTGTATAAACGAAATAAAGGATGCTGCATTTCCGGGATTTAGCCGAAGGTTGTCGTTGTTTACGTTACTCTAAAAAACATGTGCTGTTAACACGGATGCACTGTAATACAGGAAAGTTATACCTTTTGTTTTGGATCACACCAATGCAATGGTGCAGGTTTAATGCTATTTTTGAATCTAACGTGACCGGATTTCATATTTTGCCACATTGTACTTAAAATCAATATCTTCCTTTCATACCTGGAGAGTAAAATTTATATGAGTGATTCATGTTTTTAAATATTGTGCAGTGTTATTTCACTTGATATCACTGAATTTCCTGAGAGTTTGTATATCGAACGGAAATTGTTTATTTTACAGGGCGACGTGTAAATACCACAACCTCGAAATAAAGTTTGGATTGATGTGCAAATACATTCAACTGCTTGCATAATACGTGACTTTTCAAAAATGGAATGACTTTACCACCTAAATATATAAATAGTTATTTATTTCAATGAGATGTTGCTTTTGTCGTTTGATTATGTGACATGAAATATTATATAATTAATAGAAAGTCTTATTACGAGTCATTACATATATACAAAAATGGAAAAAATAATCGATAATAAATATAATCTTTTGGCAATGTAATAGACGAGACATGAACAATGATTAATTGTTTTAATTCGAATAAATTTTTTTCACATGACGATGGATTTATCGACAACCTCATCAATTTTGCTGGATTCTGTACAACACAATGAAATAATTTGAGTGCTGTTGTTCAGTTCAAATTCAAATCTACGTGACCATTTAGTAGAGTTTGCCAATTGGGAGATAAAATGAATTTATGAGAAATTTAGGTGTTACCATGAAAATCAAGTTTTATTTCTTGTTTTGCAATAACAGAATTTATTTTCCTTTCGGCAAATTTTTACTTCTACTTATACGGTTTCGAAGCGAGAACTGGATTTTTCGGCGTGTGATTATAACACAAATTAATAAAATTTGAATAACGACGCGCTACAATAATTAATTATAATTCGAGATTGTTATTTATGTAGATCGATGCGGCATTCGAGATTTATCCGTTTAAACTTTTTGAACGATTAAAATCGAATCGCGAACGGCTTAATTACTGGAGATTCTTTCGGAATTTGTTTATGTATTTACCAAATAATTTTTATATTTAACATTAATAACTGAATTGAATTGGAATATTTATTTTAACTTTCACTTTAATTTAAACTAATTAACATTCACTAGGCTTTTCATTCATCATCAGAGCAACAATTAGACTTGATGTTCATCGGTGTATTTTTGGTTTATAGTTTCCACTGAGGTTTTTTCATTCTAAGGTCCTTATCTCAACATCACACAGAAAAAAATGTTATAACTAATTACAATTCACTTAAACTAGTTATTTCTATGCTCCACACACCTAGAACTACCAAGTTTGACCAGTAATATATGCAAAGCATAGAAATTGCCATATACGTATCGTAACATTCGCGGGAGAAACATATTCTGCATCAATTGGCTGAAGATGGAAACCACAACTTCGTTCAGAACTGAATGCTGTGCAGAACTTTGCAAGAAGCAGGTCTTGCAAGGTACAACATTTGTGTACAAGAGTGACTAAAACATCGAAAAATCGCCCATAGTTCTTATCGCTGTCAATCGATATTCAGCCACCTATTTTATTAAGATAATAATTTTGATGTAGATGAAGTTAATACAGAGTACTGCTTCCAAAGTAACACCAGGAACAATTTAAATACTTGAAGTAGCAAAGAAGTACGGCATAGGGAGTTAGTAGGGAGCTATCCACCAAACTACCAAGAGCTATTCAAGAGTGTAGACGATATCAACAAAGTTGAACCAAAATTCTTCTCTTTAGCACGACAGTCTGTAGATTGTCCTTTTTATAGAAAAAGTTTGTCTTCTGTCAGCTTTAGTTAAGTTAACATTACATTTTTGATCCTGCATTTCCATAGAAAATCGACGCTGCTAAACACTCCAAATTGTTCCCAGAAATATTGGAATTATGAATTTGAAGTAATATACGAAAATGTATTTTTAATGTATATTCATAATATAATGATGTTATTACCTCATTCGACTTTCGAACAGTCGAAAGATCCAAATTAAATTGCAATAATAATCGAAATTTGTGCTTGATCTATTTTAGAACGTTTTAGTTCCCATCTAAAAAATGTCAAAGATTTTTTCACTAACACAATTTTCTTGAAAACAATAGAAATTGTAAACTTAATTACAACTAGAAAGCGAACACGAAAGATTCAATCGCATTTTTTCGTACAGTTGCGTAAAAATATGTCTCCATATGACACACTTCCCAAATGATACATGACGCTAAATAAGATGAAATCAAACGAAAATTTCAAATCAAATCAAATTTTATGTAAATTTAAGACACCGTTTCTGCATTTTTAAGTGCGGATTTCGTGATGATTTTTTGTATAAACAAATCGTGATACAAATAGTAAATATCTCAATGTGTAAATTGCCGACATCTAATAACTTTCTCTGAATTTCTCTTACATATTTGTGCATGATATTTTCTTTTGCAACTGTTTATAATTGTAACTAACGAGTTAATACATGTACTAAAATTATTTCTTGTTTTAAACGGAAAGTGATTAGTATCACCACAAAATGAACATGTAAATGCTGCTACAACCACAGAAATTTCATAACCTATTACAGATATCGAGTCGCAATATTATAAAATTCGATTGAAATAATATTAACACTACTTTCAGTTAGTATCAATATTTGAAAATACAATATACAAGGAAAAACAATAATTTTTACAAGTTTATTATCTTTAAATAGAAACTTTCTTTGTTTAAAGTAAACACCTGATTCTAAAATTATATAACATATTAGCTCGAAGCGAAAGTTCTACTATCTCAATGATGACCTGTTTGTAGATTAAAATTTAAATGTTCTATAATATTGATAAGCATGGCCAATAAAATGTGTGCACATTTGCGGTGAAAGTTACTAAAATTACGTCATCATCTAATAAAACATAATAAAGTCGGTAAGTACAGGTTCAAGGTGCAATGTCAGTGGAACTTTTATAACCGCAAACACGTTTCTCCCCTTCACTATGCAAGTAACTAGTGCTAAAAATTGCACCCCTACCACCGTGCATACGTCGACAAGAATTCAATATGGTCAAGTTCTTATTGTTCGTACTGTTCTTTAAAATAGTGTAAGAGGTAACCGGACTGACGATATAACTTGATCGGACTACGTGCACGTGGAGGGAATTTTGAAAGACTTTCACTCGACTACTACTCCTTTCGCTTTCCGCGATCCTGCTTCACACTCAGGTGCGATAATGATTCGGAGAAGTTGCGTGCGCGTTGTGGCTTTTTATTTATTTCTTGAAGTAACTACGAGATAATCGTATAATTTTATTTGATGCGGTAAAAAGCAGTACTTTGCGTGGTTATCTATTTAAGGATTTAGTGTTCGTTAACGTTGGGCGTTGATTGAAAAGAAATTGAAAACAGTTTTATTGGTAAGTAAAAAATCGTTTCTCCGACATCCGAAATTAATAAAGAGAAATGTATGTAAATATATTAATTTACTTTCTAAATCTAATTGATATATAGATATTTTTGTAGACTATTTAATAGAAATGTATCAATTTGGAGTAGGAATCTTGCTGCGTATGTACTTCCGTTGTATATCGTGCTTATTTTTTCTTTTTTGGCTCCGTGAGCACGATCCAAATCTAAAAGAGAAATTTTTTTGTGAGGCGTAAATTCTTTTTACATTCGAAGATTTAGCAATATTTTTTAGACAATCTGTAATTTCTTCTATTACTTCTTATTTTCTTATTGATTTTTTTATTATATAATATCGGAGAAATTAGAGTTAATTGTTTTAGAATGAAATAAAAATCCCTGATGATACAAACATCATTTATATTATTTACTAGTTTAATTATTTGATATATTTTTATTTTATTATTATTTCAGTTATCACAACAGATTGTTATAGTTTGTATTAATTTCCGGGTTGTGCCGTGCATCAATTAAAACAATGTGACTTTTTCGATGACTCATCATCAGAAAGCAAGTTCAAAAGTTTATAATTTCCATTAGGTGATTTTCTTTATATCCTCTTATACCTTCTACTTCAAACTATAAAAGTTTCTTTCTAAGTCTTCTTATACTATGCAAAGGACTGTGTTAAAATTACGCAATCTTTTAAATACAAACTTTAGTCGCTATGATTTAGAAGTAGGAAACAGGAAAATATTTAAATCACACAAACGTGAGAAAACATATTTTTGTAAACTCCATAATAAATGTGACAGTTTGAACATGAGGCAGTTTTGTATCGGCTTTCATATTTTAAGTATTTGCTTTCTACCAAGAAAGGTTCATTCGGCTAGACACTGCTAACTATTCTTGTATTTTGCCTGTGAAGGACGCACCTTCAGTGTAGTAGCTTCGAGATATATAAAAGGCAAAGGCACACCTATATTCCGTAGTACGTCTGTTTCATTGTCGCAATTTTCCTTTCAATTGTTAGATCGTACTGTTTATACATTATGTGCTAAACATGTTCCTCGAAAGATAGGATTGAGTCTATCATCACTTATGTAACGCGTCCTGTAACTTACTGTTTTTCTTTTATCTACGTTCAATTTAACTTTGTATCTTATTACAGTTTTCCATTTCATTAAGTGTTTTCTTGGATTTGTTTTAGGTCTCGTTTATTACTGTGACAGTTTTAGAACAAGTTATTTGATGTGACATGCTTGGCAGGTAGGATTTCAATAGGTCATTTGCAGTTTCTTGTGTTCTATAAGCATGAAGCTTTTTCAATAGAATTTGGTTATTTTCTATGCTGAAAACATTCGATAAATGTTAATAAAAAGCTTTCACTTTCTTTATTTTTATTAAAAGACTGTATAGAGTTCATCATGTACTTACTAAACCTATGATGGCTCTTGTTTCATATTTAAAATTTGTCAAAATACCCACCCAATTGTAGCACCTATGTCGCAAGCAACCTCGTCTTAATCAGGCAATATCTTATATCCTCTGTTTTAAATTCGCTTAACGCTGACGATGTAGCATATAATGTTCACGTTTAGGTAAATATGATATTAATTGATTGCTGAGTTTCATCAGTCTCAAGTAACTTGTTCTTTATCAAGCGAAATTATAAGCTTTAAGTTTAGCCGAGGTCGCATGAGGCTGAGTCACAGGAAAATGTGTTATTCAATTTTATATTGGCTTAATCCGGTGAAATCCAGCTTAATTCGGTGAAATCATATTAGATTGTATTGTAACCTTGACCGAGGTCATTTGCGGCCGATGTAGCACTCTATGTGATGTTCAGCACATAATCAGGCGAAGCCATAGATTTTCCGTCCTAAGTTTATCCTAGATCGATGGAGGCTGAGGCGAATCATGCAAAATGCTACATTCTCTGCACTAAGTTTTGTCAAGATAACTTGCAGTTGAAATGATGCAATCTTTTGATCACTTTTGAGTGTATAAGGTATTAATAGCTGTGCCACTGATACGAGCAGCCGCGGTTTTAGCCGAAACCGCAGTTAAGTTTTTTAAGGGATTCTCCTCGTTATCAAAGAATTTTTGCTGTTTTTTCCTTCTTGCTTAGGTTGATCAATCACACGTCTCAACGTTACAGGGCTTTTAAGGACACTTTTCAGATTATTAAAATGTATTGAGGCAAATTAAAGACTGTGTTTAAATTGGAGCGACTTTAGAATGGATAGTTTAGAAAAGATTAGGCGAGCAATAGATTTTTTTTTTAAGAATTATTTGGGTTGAATGAACAAACTATCCTAATTTCCTAAATTTCTGATATTTGCATCGACTTCCCTTATTTCCGTACTTTGTCTGTATTAATTAAATCATGTCATAATAAAAAATTGCGGCTCAAATCGATGTCTTTATGGTCATTATAAACCAATAAACTTTCATTTTTCATCTATAACAATGTTTTCGAAAGGGTGCAACAAATTCTTGAAAGTTCAACACAAACGTTCTACGGTGCATCAGATTTTGAAATCGTCTTTGCTGACGTTTATTAGAAACGATTATAATATATACTCCAAAGTTTACAATATTGAAATGGATTTTTCGTTAGTCGTCTACGATTGTTACCATTTAATTGTTACCGATCCCAAACATTCCATCCAAATTTTCGCCCCGAAACATTCATCGTATGTTGTAAAAAAAAGTATGCTCAAATCGTTTCCTGTCCTGAAAGGGTTGCTTTTAATCCAAGCTTTCCGTTCGGGCGTTCTATTTTTTTAGTTTGCCCCTTTTGTTTATTATGTATCGGTTTTTATCTCGTTTGCCTTTATTCTCATATTTAATTTTAACCTCTATTTAGCTTTAAAATCCATTTATGTATTTAGCTATATTCCTCATAGCGGAGCAGTTCTACGTTATTCGATATTTATTCTCATTCTCTCAAAGTTGGCTCGTATCACTCTGCCTAAGATTAAGATTATTAATGAGAATTCTCTCTTCTTTTCCTATTCTTTCCCTCCTTACGTTTACTAGGATGATTATATTACAGTAAACTAGAAAACTTTTTTATTAACGACTCTGATTAAATCTTTCTTTCAAATTTAATTTTTATGAACTTCCGAAAAGTACTAAGTATTCTTATACCTTTCACTTCGACTCCTTAATTCGTGGTCTTGTTCTAAAGTGGTTAGCTTTTACCGCAGATAAACACGTTGGTAAAGTCAGTATTTACGAACATTTAAAAAATCAGTTTTGTAGTGAGCTGTTTTTCATTTAAGATTTTATTTTATTGTTAATATTAATATATATTATCTGATTTAACCAGCCTAGCTTAGAGATTAATTTAAATAATCTTAGTTACATTTTTCTTGTGGAGCACTAATTGATTATTTACAGTAATGCTACGCGTAAGATAGTTGGTTAACCAATACTAATATAAAAAATTATTAGTAACGAACATAATGTTCGAGACCGCACACAATAATTGAAATCGTTTTCAATACATAAAATGAAATGTAATGGGCAAAACTGGAAAATGAGTTATTTTATATATTATTATAACCACTTTTACATATAAATAATGGTGTTTCACAGTAATGTGTTGGGTGCGAATCAATAGAAAGTAAAATTAATTAACATTGGAATCGAGTCAGCGACCGTACACGTCAATCTGGTCGGGTGTTTTATTTGTTACACCTGGGTGACATCGGCTACATCATCCTGTCCATAATAAATATATGAATTCTTTATTTGGTAGGAAATATTAGCATATAAATTAAAATGTAATATGAATCAAGCAACGCTACTAAATAATATATAAAAAAGCTATAATAAGTCAATAAATGTCGCATTAACAAACATTCACGTTTTACAAAAACCTAATTAAAACACAAATAAAAACTTTTCGCTTTTAATAAAGAAATCGTTAATTAATAAAATTAAATGTAAATTATCATTTTCAGGTGATTCATGGATTGCATAACTTTGGTCGGTGAAAAGCCTTGTTTTGAGTTTGGTGAAAGTGACGGACATTTCTTTCCGAAATGGCTTACTTTAGGAGGTTTTTTGTAACTCCGGGGAATAACTTTCCCTTATACACCACTTATTAGCAAGAATTTATTGCGGTTTTTTTTGAGATGGTGGTTACGGCGGTAGTACTCGGTGCCATAAAAACGGCGACCACTATAATCGGTATTGGCAAAGTAGCGATTTTGCCGTTTCTGTTAGCTTCGATGGCTTACTTCCACTACGATCTCTTCGATCCCGAAAATAGACCTGCAACGGTCGACGTTGTCGACGCAGAGTACGACTTCATCATTGTCGGTGCTGGTGCTGCAGGAGCGGTACTCGCCAACAGATTATCCGAGGTGAAAAATTGGAAAATTTTACTGCTAGAAGCCGGTGGACACGAGACTGAAATATCTGACGTCCCATTGTTAAGTATCTACTTGCATAAAAGCAAACTCGACTGGGGATTCAGGTAAAAAATTTATACAAGAACTGAAAGATTTTAAGAAGATTAGAAAATCTTTTTAAAACCTTTTTAAAAAAATATTACTTTCATATTATTTTTCTTTTTATAGGACACAACCCCAACCAAGTGCATGTCAAGCGATGAAAGACCATAGATGTAGTTGGACAAGAGGAAAAGTTCTTGGAGGTTCAACGGTACTAAATACAATGCTTTACATAAGAGGAAATAGACGTGATTTCGATCGATGGGAAGCGTTAGGAAATCCCGGATGGGGATATGATGACGTATTACCATACTTCCTTAAGAGTCAAGATCAAAGAAATCCTTATTTAGCCAACAATACCTATCACGCAACCGGAGGATATCTCACCGTTCAAGATGGTCCATATCACACTCCTATAGGAATAGCTTTTCTAGAAGCAGGACAAGAGATGGGTTACGATATAGTCGACATAAACGGTGCTCAGCAAACCGGATTTGCTTTGTTTCAATACACAATGAGAAGAGCTACAAGATGTAGTACATCTAAAGCATTTCTACGACCAATCAGATTACGAGATAATCTGCATATATCAACGTTGTCACATGCGACTAAAGTTCATATAGATCCAAAAACAAAACGAACGTACGGGGTTGAATTTATAAAAGAAGGTAGTACGTTTAATGTGAAAGCTAGGAAAGAAGTTATTCTTAGTGCTGGTGCTATTAATAGTCCTCACCTTTTGATGTTATCCGGTGTAGGACCTCGAGACCAATTAAATAAATTTGAAATACCCGTCATTGTTGATTCACCTGGTGTCGGACAAAATTTGCAAGATCACATCGCAGCTGGTGGAGTTACATTTTTAATAGACCATCCTATTAGCTTAGTTATTAACAGGTACGTTTAATTAAACTCAAAAATAATTTGAAAATGTAATTGTGTAAAATTATAATTAATCTTACGCAAACGTGCTTTAATTGTGGTGAATGGAAAACATTTTAAGTAGTTTTATATTTCATTCGAGGACTTTCTACATGCTGCAAACGTTCTTATTGATCTAAATATTGAACTGGTTTTCCCGTAAACTTCAATAATTAGATGTTGAAATATAAAATGTACGCTTACGATGTAAAACGTAGTAAATACCTTTACCTAGAAAACTTAAAATTACTGATTGAGCAAGATTGCGAAGCGGTATTAAAATGTAATTTGTGTCGATTTTAAGAGTATTTGCACGATTATAATTTATGATTATTTTTTTATACGAGTAAAATCGAAATAATTTTTAACAACCTTGTTATTTTTATACCTACATGATCTATCACGAAGTTACACGCTAATTATTATTAATGATTAGGTTTGGTTAACCACAACGAACGATAACTCTTCGGTAAATCTTTGAAACATAAATTATATTCTTAATTAGCTCGTAATTAACTTTTCGTAATGAAGATGTGAGATGATAGTTTCTTTTTAATTACAGGTTAGTAAATTTAAATACAGCTTTTAGATACGCTGTATCGGAAGATGGTCCATTAACATCAAACATAGGAATAGAAACTGTTGGTTTTATATCAACTAAATACGCGAATCAATCTGATGATTGGCCCGATATGGAGTTTATGATGACGAGTACCTCAACGGGGGCTGATGGTGGTGTTCAAGTAAAAAGAGCACATGGTTTATCAGATGAATATTATAACGAGGTATTCGAAGAAATTAATTATAAGGATCAATTTGGTATTTTTCCAATGATGTTAAGACCGAGAAGCGTGGGAGAAATTAGATTGCAAAGTAAAAATCCTTTAGTTTATCCATTACTTTATCATAATTATCTAACTGATTACCATGACGTAGCCGTGTTAAGAGAAGGAGTTAAAGCAGCCATAGCTTTAGGTAAAAATTAATCAATTATATTTTATTACTTACATAGTTAATTACAATTCTTCGGTCATAAACTTGAGAAAATAATGATTCTATTAAAAGATATTCCAAAAGCAATAAAACATGTTCCTTAACAACTTTATCAACTAACTAACGAGAAAACATAAATCTCAATTTATTATATTTTCATTTAATTAAAGTATTTTGATTAAATCAATTTTGATTTTAGGTGAAACGGAAGCAATGAAAAAATTTGGTGCTCGTTTTCATCGTACACCGGCGCCAAATTGCAAACACTTACCTTTATTCACCGACGAGTATTGGGATTGTTTCGTCCGGCAATACACTTTATCTATCTACCATTATTCTTGTACGGCGAAAATGGGACCCAGTACAGACCCTATGGCGGTGGTCGATCCGGCATTAAGAGTATATGGGGTATCTGGACTAAGAGTGATCGATGCTTCAATCATGCCATACATCACCAATGGCAATATTAACGCGCCCGTTATAATGATCGGTGAAAAGGGTGCTGATTTAATCAAAGCGGATTGGCTCAGTAAAATCGGATATTATAGACCACAAAAATGATTCACACAAGGAAATAATTTTGTTTAAAATGAAAAGGTGAAAATGTTATTTATTGTAAAATTTACTTTTACGATATTTCTAGTCGATGTACGTTTCTAATTGTCATAGGTTTTAAGGATTTTATAGACCTCAGAGATTGCTCATTTTATAACTTGTAATAAACATAAATGTTATAATAGTTGTGTATTATTTAGTAGTTATTTAGTGTAGTGATTAGTAGTAACAAAATATTCTTACTTCACTTTATATTGTTTAGTATTAAACGGTAATAAAATTAACTAATCTTATTTAGTTTCTTTAAAAGTATTATTGTTTATTTAAAACAACCGCATTATAGAGATAGGCTTTTAATTTTCACAAGAACATCAAAATTTCTATTTTATTTGATAAATTTGAAGGGATCTTTTAGAAAATTAACTACGCAATGACTTATTTTTAATGTCTACTATCTGTGGCAATAGTTAATTGAGATATCAATATCTTCATAAACCCTAGCGATTAAATTTCTGTGTCAATATTTAAACAATGAAATGGTTTATTATCGTCATACTATTCCTTTATGATAAGTTGCTCTTCTCAGACCATCATTGTAACCAAAAATGACGAAATTTCTACGTTAACTCCATATACGTTGCTTTTATCAGCAACGAACACAAGGATTACTTAAATTTTGTATACTATTTGACTTTTTGAGTTAACTAAAATGTGGTATAAGACATGAGCTGGCAGTGATTCATAGTGAAGAAGTGCACAATCTTAGATTTGGTCGTACCTCGTATATCATGTAAGAGATAGTCAACCATATAACCACTGACGTATACTAAGTGGCTTATTACACTCAAGTTTCTCGCATTTGGAATAACTAGCGCTATCTACTATGGCGTTTTCAGAATGAGAAGAAAATCATCTGTTGGAATGACACTAATGAAAAAACTGAAATGAAGGCGGAAAATACAGCCAGCGTTGAAATGGTATTACAAAAACTAAAATATGTATTAAGGCTTAGAAAACGTAAGTTGGAAAAAACCATAAAATGATAATTATATGTAAGTGAATACCAAGGTAGAGATCTAAAAATGATAATATACAAAACATTAGCTAGAAATAGCTTATATATGCGAAGGTATACTGACATATATTAGCTTATGATAGCCAAAAAAGCAGGTATTAGTAGAAAGGAACAAATATCGGAATACAATTTCAAGATTTGTAAGGTCTACTTTAAAAGCAACAAAATGAAAGGATGAGAAGGAAGCAAATACTTCAAGGGAATTACACATTGGATTTAGCAGAAATGGATTAATAAAATGGAATAGAAAGAAAAAACCAGAAGTATTTTGGTGTTCCAAAAGATATCCGGGAAGGAATAGAACAATAGTCTTGGGTAGCTACCTAAAAACTACAATTCGGGTTCCACCTCGAACTTTTCTGATTACCAGCATTCCTCAAGACCAAAAATTTTATCACACGAGAAATATTGCATGATCCATCATTCCTATCCCCATGGTGGTTCATTATAGTTGAACTTGAATCAATTAGCAAAGTAGATGCTAAGCACCCATTCTTCTCAGGTTATCGAGACTTGAGGCGTCAGTATCAAAGAAATTAGTGCCTGCTGAAATAGTATTGAGAAAGAGCATTAACAATACTTAAAAGTGATGAGTTATAGCTCTCAGTTATATTAGTAAGAAAACTAAGAACATCTTTTAATGATGAACAAAAACCAAAAATGTATTGGGATCACGTTTTATATTATTAAATCTGCTTGTGTTTTCCCGTTAGCTTTTATAATTTTTTAAGTATATGAATCCACATGACATTTTAAAGTATATCCCTGGTTTCTTGCTCATCTCCTAACACTATCGGTTAAGCCGAGAAAGCCATATTTGTCGCTACCTTTTGTCTCGCTTATTACCATGCCTTAGAATTATGGAGGACATCCAGTGCTTTTAATACTTTCTATGGAATTAAGTACAGTTCAGAGATCTTTTTGACGCTGCCAATGCATCCATTGTAAAAATTTCTTCATCAATCTCTCAAATAATTAAATCGTGTTTACTGACATATGGATGTATGACTCGCTTTATTAAGAGACAAGTTTGGATTTCTTTAGACACAGCCATTTGATTTATTCCTAGACTACTACTTCCGTATCTATAAATACATTTCTCTTTGATACTCAATCAACAATACATTACAACATATAAATATCTAACATCAACACTGTTTCATTGATGTGGGTTCCAAATCATACAAACATAGCCAAGTTCATCATATCAAGTTCTAAAACTTTGTGAGACCGAATATGGTATTTTATTTGCAATATTAAAACAAAGTCAAGGGAATATTAGAACTACACCCTAATAAGATGACACAATTTCTGGCAGTAATGAATAATGTTTCGAAATTATTATGTTATTAATAATACATTTAGATTGCATATACTATCATAAATTATATATAATAAATCATGTTGAAATACGTTTAAAAATTTATTAATGACAACTTTCACATTACAGGAAGAAAACGATGTACTTTTGCAGCTTATTGCATAAATATTTTATCCAATTAACATTAAATGAACAATTATGTGTTTAATGCTGCTATTGATCATCATAATTGATGAATCAACTTATTTACATTATTACAAAATATATAATGTGAGTATTATACATAAATTTACATAACTTGTAATAATACGCTAAAATTTATGAGTAGATAATCCGACTATTAAATAATTATTATCGTGTTAAATAATAAACAAATTATGACCAACATCTCGAATCAATGCTAATAGGTTTCATAAAAATCAAGTGTCTAAATCGTGGTGAAAGCTGTCGTCTAAACATAGCACCTGCACTCCACTCCAAGCAAAACGAAAGCGCACAGATTCCCATATTATAATGTTACGTGATGAAACTCTCGTTTTGCAGTAGGATAGCTTGTTTGGAATTTTCAGGAGTACGTGACTTTCCTCCCAATGACCGCGAATTCGAATTCTTCTTCGGCATTTTACTCTCACTTATTTATGTCGTTCTTGTTGTTGTTTAGCAATAGAAGCAGGACCGGACGAAGAAAACCGACGACATCCGATCTGTTTTACCAACTTTCAAATTTGTTTTAACGCCGCAGCGATGGCAACAGTGAACGCAATCGTGGGTCCACAACCGAGACAAACGTAATTTCTCCTTACTTTCTTTCCGACTACCGGCGAGGTTCGTGTTAATTTCACCCGCGATCTGTAAACATTGTGTCTTTGTATTTCTATTGTATCGGGAAACTTAGAACAACCATGGCGATAATTAACATTAAGGTAAGTTTAAAGTAAGGGGCGAATAGTAAAGTTAGAATTAAAATCAAATTGATTTGAAGTTAGCTAGACTATTATTATGTACAGTTTTGTTTATTCATTTAACCAATAAACTTAATTATCTTTTTTATTGACCTAATTAAGTGGTTGGTAATTTGTTGAAACTGAGCAATCATTAAGAAAATAAAACGAATACTTTCCTTATGATTGCGTTAAATATAAAATGTAATTATAGTGGTTATTCGACTTCACGTTGAATAAAGCTTTTGAAGGCTAAATCAAGAAAAAGTTTGTAGGTATAAGCAAGATATGGGTTAAACGAAACATAATCGCATCTCTAGCAATAAATTTGAAATGATATATATGTATTTCAAAATTTCTCTTATGTTTATGAAGAATTATCATTAAATTAGAAGCTTAAAAGTTATTCGTTACTTCTTGTAACGTCAAACCTCTTTAGTGTCATCGTTAACCTTACATTTAAGATTTCTCTCTTTTGATGGGGTAATATTTTTTATTTCCACATTTATTTAGGGACTTTCTCTGTTTATTTGAACATGTGTAGTTGCAAGAATAATTTCATCAATTACATGAAGTATTAATTACCTGTCGAATAGAAACCAATAATATGTACACAATAAGCATTGTTTTCGTTTGGTTAGAAAGTTATCTATTATTATATTAGTGCATTTATTTTCTAAGAGAAAGCCGAATTAAAAAAGGAATTTGTTAAAAATTAACAGTTCGACTAGATAATTTTATATCCAAATTTTATGTTAGTAATCATGCGAAAGTAATTATTATCAAAATGCTTTTGAAAATTTTATGTGGTAATTTAAACTATGTCGTGAACAACATCAAGACAATATAAAGTGTTACGATCCATTAAATTAAGTAACGTTAAGTATTCGGCCTTCCATACCGTTCACATCGTTTTCTTCGTTATTTCCAACTTAATAGGGTAGATAAGAAAGTTCAATTTGATATAAACCAATTTATATGTATTGGGTAATAAGAGATTTTTTTGATATATTACGCAATTCTGTGGCCATACATGTACATGTAGGTGAAGCGTTGCGAAATGTTCGACGATTCCATTATTTCGTCGTTCGTCTTTAAAGATAATAATCACATCTTTTCACGAATAACTTTCACCCATTTACTAAAATTTACATCATTCAACCTTGTACGCAATTTAAAAGGTATATTTTTCTTCCCTAGAATTCTGCTCATCAGTATGGGCAAACATGATCTTCAGATTCATATTAAGAGAAAGAGGGTCAACAGTTGGCCTGAAGCTCGCGTTGGACCGTCAAATGTCGACTATTGGTGTTATACAAATCCCGAAGAATTTAACGAGAGAATAATTCGAGCACAAAAATATTACATTTTGAATCATCTTCGCATCAAAGCTGCTGTTGCGGAAACATCCTATCAAAATAATTTTTACCAAGTGAAAAAGACTTCGATAAGAGACTATATCCCTAAAACAATTAATAGAGAGATTAATATGGGCATGTGGATTTAATATAAATAGTGGAAAGAAATGTCGGCTGTGTTAGCTAGTGTTGCTGGTGCCGCGTTAAATATAGGCACAAATCCGCTGGCTATTGCTGGATTAGTGCCTATTGTTGCAGCCGGATTAACATTTTTACGTTATCTTAGATTCGACCCGGAGGATCACCCAGTTAGTGTGCAAAAGGTAAATATTTTCTTTAAAACTATTTAAAATAGAAACAATTCTTTCACTGATACATTCATTTCAAATAAAATAGGTTAATCTAAGATTGACGTGTGTTTATTCAGACAATTCATGTTAAAATTAGTTTAGATTTTAAGTCTCTTCAAGTGAGAGTAGAAATGTCTTCGAATATTTTTACATATTAAAATATCCTCAAAAAGAAATTCCCACTTATATAACTTGATAATTTGCATAACCGTTGGATTTTTTTACTTCCTTTGTATTTTAGAAGGTTTATTTAGCATCTAAATTTAAATCACTTTCTACGTAGAAATTTAATCACAAGTTTGTTTTTATTTTACCATATTTTTGATTGAATTTGTGGACCAAAATTAACTTAACGTAGTTAAGGTATGAATTGACTTCTTGGGTTTTGGTGATGCACTTTTATGCATACTCTTCAGCATGGTACTCGAGGAGATTAGACGAAATACGAGATCATAACTTTGGTCCTATACGGTATATAACCTCCAAGAATATATATCTTGGAGGCTATAACTTTCAAGATATTTACTAAAATCCCCAAGAAAATTACTAAAGGCGATGGTCGGAAAAAAGCTTAGAGGATCGCTTAACACTCGATATATGGACCAGTGCTTGGTTTTAAAGTCAGAACCACCATATACTGGAAAGAAGAGAATCTTGCATTTGATCATCGTTGCATTAATGAAGGAAATGGTATCATTGAAGGAAATCGTTCTATTTATTTCGATTCGTCCTCGATATTCATGCTTAAGTAGCATAGCATTTATAACATCCGACAACGTTAGTTACTCGTTTAGCAGATTCGCCATGATCTGTCTTAACATCTGGGCCATCTTCATGAAGTCAGTAAACATCTGCAACTACATAACCTAAATCTGTCAACACTAAGTAATGTGTTTTCAGAGCTAACTTCCCCGATTATTATCTGAGCTTCCATAGCTCTTTCCCGGAACTTTGTAATTTCTTGCGCAACTTTATTCCTGCTCATGTAGGAAATTGCCATTTACAAATCTACATCTGGGAGATTCAAGAAAACGATATCAATAAAAAGTAGTTTTGAGTGTTCGAACTCAAGCGGCCTTGGCTTAATAAAGCGAAATCATACGTTTTGCCAAATCGCCAACCGCCGAGGTGTTACATATCTGTTCCACATGAAGTTTAACTTTTATTTTAATTATATGTAGAAATGTTGTTTGATATTACAAACAGGTTTGAAGATATAAATTGAAGTGAAACAAATATTAATTCTCATTTATTCAGGTCAAAGATACATTATATTATTCATCATTGTAACTGCACCTCATCACTCTTCTCAAATAACGTCTCTGCCGGAACGACATTTATAAATATATATACGTTAAGACGTATTAAAAATTAGAAACCACGGGATGATATTGAGGCGTAGCCGAGTCTCTTCGACTTCTTCAGTCGCTAATGTGCTACTTAAACTGTTTAGCCCACGCCTATCTCACGCTCATTACCATTATCTTCGACCTTCTTGATTATTTTCATCTGCCAAGAGTATAATCCAATTCGCATATGTTTCGACTACATCCTCCTCCAAATCTAATACCCCGCTTACATACTACATATCTATAACTTTTCGTGCAACTACTAATTGAGTCAACTTCAAAATTAATAATTGTCGAAATGTAAAATTTAGTACTCGACAATTATTTTGATAAAGATCGACTTGTTGAAAATTAGGCAATTAGTTAAATTCAGTCTTTACGTAAAATAACATTAAACCTGTACTATTATTTCAGCTTCTACCAGAGTATGATTTTGTAATAATAGGCGGAGGGTCTGCAGGGGCAGTCGTTGCATCACGATTATCAGAAATAGCTAATTGGACGGTTCTTTTATTGGAAGCTGGTCCAGATGAGAATGAAGTAACAGATGTACCCAGTTTACTCGGATATTTACAACTATCCAATATGGATTGGATGTATCAAACCTCACCACCAACAGACTCACAGTACTGTTTGGCGATGATCGGTGATAGATGTAATTGGCCACGAGGAAAGGTAGTATTTTAATACAAAAAATTTTAATTATTTATTTTTTGGAGTGATTTAGGTTCTAGGTGGTTCAAGTGTTCTCAACGCTATGGTATACGCTCGTGGTAACAAGCGAGATTATGACGCTTGGGAAGCTCAAGGAAACCCTGGATGGTCGTATAAAGACATTTTGCCATATTTTCGCAAATCGGAAGATAATAGAAATCCATATTTAGCCCGAACCGACTATCATAACTCCGGAGGTTATCTTACAGTACAAGAAGTTCCTTGGCGGACACCGCTAGCAGTAGCATTCCTCCAAGCGGGAAAAGAACTGGGTTATGATGTACGTGATTGCAACGGCGAAAAACAAACTGGATTTATGATTACGCAAACTACAATGCGAAGAGGTCATAGATGCTCTACCGCTAAAGCATTTCTTAGACCAGTTCGGTAAATTAGATTTTATTTATTTGTTATAAAATGTTTAATTATTAACTATTTTCAGGCACAGAGAAAATCTTCACATTGCGTTAAATTCTCAAGCTACTAAAATAATAATTGACCGCCGAACTAAACGTGCTTTAGGAGTGAAGTTCGTTCGGAGTGGAAGAAATAAAGTAGTTCGAGCCAAGCGAGAAGTTATCTTGTCAGCAGGGGCGATAGGATCGCCTCAACTATTAATGTTGAGCGGAATTGGTCCTAAAGAACACCTGGAGTCGTTAAATATCCCAGTTATAAGTGACTTAAAAGTTGGCTACAACTTGCAGGATCACGTCGGATTAGGCGGTTTTACTTTTATAATTGATGACCCAATCACATTTACCAGAAACCGGTATCAAAGTATAAATGTAGTTATGGAGTATTTGTTAAGAGAAAAAGGACCGATGACGTCTCAAGGAGTGGAAGGGTTGGCTTTCGTTAATACAAAATACGCACCGAAAGATGGATTATGGCCCGATGTTCAATTTCATTTTGCTGCTAGTAGCATAAATTCGGACAGTGATCAAATAAGGAAAATTACGGGAATGAGGGATAGCGTTTATAATACCGTTTATAAACCTTTAGGTGATGCAGAAACATGGTCGCTATTGCCCTTATTGTTACGACCGAAAAGCACCGGAAGGATATCTTTAAAATCGTCAAACCCATTTGTTTATCCAGACATCAATCCCAATTACTTTACACACAAAGAGGACATCCTTACGTTGATTGAAGGAATTCGAATCGGTTTGAATGTATCGGATACCCCTTCTTTCAAAAGATTTAACTCGCGTCCCCATAAGATGCCATTTCCTTCTTGCGAACAATACGAATTTGACACAGACGAATATTGGGAATGTAGTATACGACATTTTACGTTTACGATATATCACCCAACTTCGACTTGTAAAATGGGTCCAGAAAACGATGGAGATGCGGTGGTAAATCCTCGTTTAAAAATTTATGGTTTGGAAAACTTACGAGTTATCGATGCATCTATAATGCCGAACATTGTAAGTGGTAACACTAACGCACCTGTTATAATGATTGGTGAAAAAGGTGCCGATTTGATAAAAGAAGATTGGTTAGGACAGCATTTTAGAAAGACTTAAAAGATTAATGATTATTTTTTAATTAATTTATTTAAACAAATATAAATTGAAATCATTTCTTTTGTAAATACCTTGTACTAATAAAAATAACATTTAAATTTAAATTTTATTTTCTATTTTAAGTTAGCTTTAAATTACTAGTCAATCCATTCAGCACATCGGTTATATGCAACTTGTTGTTATACTGTTAATAAAGTAGTTATTCGAGTAAATAAGTAACATGGTGAATTATTTTTGAATTATTCCGAATAGAATAGAGAATGTTATTAAATTATAATTAATGTTTATTTCAGACCGAGTTTGCATGTGTATAATATTTATTATCCGTTTTATTATTTATTTCTGCTAAAACTTTAAACGGTTTTGGGAATTTCCATAGCTTTTGGATCCTCCGAGCATGAATCTTATTAATAAATATGTAGTACTGGTTGCTGACGGTAGATTGATTAAGTTGGAATTTTGTCATAGGCTGTGATTCTTATCCAACCCACATTATTTGGAAATTTGTTAATGATAAGAGAAAAGGTAGGTAACTTTCAGACTTTAATTTCAACAGTAATTTCAATTAGTTATTGGATCCTATGGGTACGAGACATACCAGAATTGGAACCAATATAAGGTTAACTCGGCGTAAGACGAGTTATTGAATGACTTTATCCACTCTGACTAAAAGTGCAGCAATCTCAAAAGGGGGGAAGCAGTCTTTAACAGAGCTAAATGCTTTAAATAAGATTTTGACTGAAATAACCCCTCATCTATCTCCCCCCCCCAAAAGAAAAGGAGCGCTCTACTAAAAAGTTTCAATGAGATTTGCACTCGCATACTATCTACTAGATATTTGCTGTAGTCTTAAATTGGACCAATATGGACGCTGCTGGCATCGTATGTGTTTGTGTATTGATTATTAAAAGAACAAAAAAGATGGTTAAGATATGAATCACTGAAGGACCCCCTATGAAATTCTTCAATTACTTTACAATGAGTTATACTAGTTTTAATATCCTACTGGGATCGAAGGTCAATCATTTCATGATGATAAGGATTCTGCAAACGGTAACGCATCTTACGTTTATGGACTAGCAAAAGAGGTGTATGGTTGAGGTTGATACACTACCTGTTCTGGGAGTTCTGCTGCAACGTGTAGCGGTAAAGTTCTCCATAAAATCACTCTATAAAATTACGGCTAAAAGGAAGATTTCTTAAGGCTTATTGGATTACTTGTGAGGGACTTCTCCTGAAAATCTCGGAAACCCAAGCAACCGTTTCTCATAAAGTGCTGAGAGTATAAACATAGAAGGATGGCTTAAGCTGAAAATTTACTGATCAAGATCATATAAAATGTGTAAGAGTCAAAAGTACACCCCAAGAAATCATTAAATTGTGCAATTAAACTTTGAACTTTAACGGGGCAAACTAAATTTTCCTTAACGACTTCCTAAAAGATGTTTGTAGAAAGCTTCTCTCGTGAGAAATTTAAAAATATTCCAAAACAGACTTTCAATGTCATTCGGCATCTCACTTTTTATACTTTTCAATTTCTTAATTCTTTCTTTTTTACAGACATAATGCAAAAAAAAATCTATATTTTTAATCAAGTATCTAATCTAAGCATCAGTTTGTCGTTTTAAAACCTCAGACTATAATCTTCTAGAGGTTTTGAAAAATTTGGTGCTAAAGTACAAAATAAGATTTCCTAAGAGGTGAACAATTCAAAGTTTGTCCACCGTATATTTGAATATACAAAGAAAACGATTATTTACATAAATAAACTATGAAAAACATCATTGGATTTAAGTGTTATGATTTAATCAGATGTTTGTGTTCATTTCTGCTATTGTTCTAGAGTTAAATATATACGATAACAAACAAAAATAATTCAATTTGTGTCGTTGTATGAAACAATGCAAAAAGAATAAATCATTCTTTCGACATATTCGCAAACAATAACAAAATAACGACACAATTACAATAACAATAATTATAAAATCGAGAGTTATACGCTCGAAGCGCGTCACTTTTATGTAACTTCGATTAGAATTATCAATACCTCTTTCTCTCGCGGTTACGTAGTTATATAAGAGTTTCGCCGGCAATAGCAAACTCGGAAGTGGTTGCTTTCACTTTTCACCAAGACCTCGGGAGATTCTTTTTCGGTGTAAACGCGCGGGTATCTTGTCACGTAGGCGCAGAAAATTTACGAAGAAAGCTGAAGCATTTTGGATCGAAAAATTTCGTAATCCGAAGAAAACGTTACCCAATCGGCGTGCCTTCGACATCCACTCAATTTCGATGATCGTAATAACATATTTTTTCGTTTCGACAGAAGGAAGTCGAGGCAAAAGTAGGCCTATGGTACCCCCCACAAAGACACCGCGAGATCTTGTGGAGTTCCCGTGACGGACCACGCGGTTTAGTCAGTTCTGCGAGCTTTTTGATACAAGTTCAACTTAGTTTACCTATTATTACATCAATCTGAATCGACAAATTTACCGTTTAATTATTGAGTTTTTTTTTTCATATTGAGTTGGTTAAAATAAAGTGTTGAAAAATAATACATTATGGATAATAATAAACGAAAATGTATTTTCTTGTCGGTGAGTATTTTTTGAGAGCTGAGCAAACTAGAAAGTTTTGCAATAATTACTTTTTAAATTGACCTTAAATTATTTCGATGAAGAAACTCTTGACCTTTATTTAAAAAAAATCGGGCTAATTCGTTCACGTAGATGTCAAAACTAATTACTGTTTAATCGTCGTCTAATCGTTGAGTAGTGTTTTTTTTTTATTTTTACAATTAAACAACAATTTAATAAAAATTTTACTTTGAAATATTTCACACTTTCTCTTGATATTTTCTGGCAATAAAAACTATTTTTAAGACAATCAAGTTTGTAAACTTCGTGGTATAATGCTTCATTGTTTTCTGGTGTACTCAATTAGATGAATAAACTCCTATATAATTAATATGCAAATATAATTAATTTAGTTATTGTTTTTTTGTAAATGAAAACAAAATTATTTTATTTATAATTTGTTATGTTAAATAATATTTGGTGAATTTAGAAATCTAATCTTACTGTTAGTATGGATAGTCATCAATCCATTCTATGTGTTTATTGATTTTGAGATTACATTAAAGATGAATACGATGAAAATTAAATGTTAACACGATGATTTGTTTTTCTTCAAACGTTGTAGATCCTACTTCAAGTTACGGATAGATTAGGTTGATTTGGAGGAGATTTGTCATCTCTGGAAATATATCTCTGGAAAATATATCTCTCTCTGATTTGCAAATTCAGACTACCAAAATTGCTTCATCGTTCTTCACAGGAGAAATCTGATTATGGCGATCGTATCGGAACAAAATTTCCGTAAAGCAGATTCTTACTGCTTCTTGCTGTTCTTCAATTCTGTTGAACTATTCGAGTGCCAATTCCATCTGCCTCGTTGATTCTTTGTGAACACAATTGGTTCATGTACGACAATTCAATTCTTCAACATTTACCGCGTATAATATTGTTGATAAATTCAGTAAAAACTTAATTAACCAATGAATTATATCTTTCAAGCTTGACCTATGGTTGATACTGCATGTCGAGTTTTTTTTTTGATAACTCCAGCATAACATAATTTTCTTTACATACAAATTTATTGAATTCTCGTTATAATTTTCTTCTTCTTAATTTTTTCACAAATATATCAAGTAATCTCGAAAATACATAGCTGATTAGTGATAACATTCTCAATAATAATTCTTTTCTGCACTTGATAACTTAGTAGGTTATAATGTGAGTATCTTAATTGGGTTACAAGGATTTCAAACATAACATAATACACATATATTATATAGACTTTCTGATTTACCATACATCATAAAAACCCAATTGAGAAGGATTTTCTAAAAAGATTATTTACATGAGACATATTACAACAAGGATGCATAGTTCTAAATTGTAGTTACAACGCTTAACCACAAACAATACACATATTTTCTCTTAATATTCGAACTGTGACAAATTAGGCACCGAATTTTATCGTAAAAACAACACGACCTTGCTGATGTAATATTAAAGATATGATTTGATCGCAATTTAGATTATAAAAACTTTCAAAGTGAGAATAATTCTTATAATATTACTTATTTAATTATAGTAATATTAAGAAAAACGAATGGTTGTTACTTTCTATATGAGCTCGGATATACTTTTACCTATTTATTAGTTATTTGTCAGTAATTCTGCATTAAATTTCAACATAAATCAACTTTACCTTTACGTTTTGCAAATTACGAATTACTTTGTACCCAATAAACCACATTACAACATTCTCTGAGAGAAACCAGCATGTTTCTTAATATCTATCCTAAATTATTTGCAATATACAAAAACAAAATTTGTATCAAAACGTTCTGTATTATTACTTCATTAATTTTCGTGTTTATTATATTTTGTATCTTTATTATATACTGTAATTTTATAATATCTTGCTTGACATAGACATTGAACGAGGTCAGTTCTCGACCTTTTATTTTACAAGTGCACGATCAAGAACCAAGTGAACGCTTCGTATTCAAGAGGTAAGTGAAAGCGAAAGCGGAAGCAAATCACAACATAGGGAATAAGACGCCAACGGAATCATTGTCGGCCTATTCAGACTCTACCATATCCTATTTCCTAGTGACTCAAAATTGCGTGCCTAACTCCCACCAACGAAGAAAGATGTACACATATTCTTTGTGGTTAAAGATCTCTTTTTTTATATACGGAATCTGCTGTTGTCACCGTTATATAACGGAATTTCACCGTGCGGCATTCCACTTTCTCGTTGTAGTGTGACGTTTACTGACCAAGTATTATATCTGTATACGTAAAATCGTACGGGTATTATATGAAATGTGTAATGATAATGATAAGAAAATGTATCTATAACAAAAATAACTTTCTAAACTTATTTCAGGATCCCACGACGTTACTAAATTGACACGACATTCTTCTAGT